CTTGGAAAATCTTACTTCCCCATCGGTAATATTTTCCGGGGGTATGATTTGCCTGTTACACCGCCACCATCGGACTTGAGTGCGCCGTGTCGCCTGTCGAGAGATACAGTCACGACGGTTGTATTAATCCGTGCTCGTGTAATATCCGATGATATATATAGCGATCTCGTCACACACCTGTGATTTATATCACAAAGTCGCCGCACAGTGATCTGAAAAGTAAATTTACCTTACACAAAACTTAATTCAGAAAGTATGATAAAATGTTATCTAAATTAAATCTTTATTTTATAGGTATAACCTAACCTATATATATCTATTAGTTTATTAATTTGATAAAATTAAAGCCATAAATATTATTGATGTCTTTAGACAACTTAAAATGTATATAATTTTAAAAATATTGTCTATCATCGTGAGTATTTATTTCATTTTGGTTTTATTGGAGCACATTTTAATTATTAAAATTATTCTTTTTGCATTTGTATATACAATGGAATACACGTATAAAGGTAAGTACTATTAAAACACATTTATATACACATATATTAATGAAGTTATAAAATTCAAATTTTTTAAATTGTGTTTTTAATGATATAATATATATTTCGTTAGTAAATAATTCAATAACTTTAAAATTACAAAAAATTACATCTCTATATTATATTATTTATAATGTATACAAGCTACATAATTGATTTTAATAAATTTGCTCTGCCTATATCTGCTTATGTGCTCATTATAATCTCGTTTTCAGCAGGCAGTAGTAGCGGTGAAAAACTAAAAAAATTAACCAACGATGATTTGTTTAATTTTTTACGAGGAGTAGGTGCAATGAAACCTCTGAGTGTGAAATCTAGATTTTTTCTACTGAAAAAATTCGCGAAAAACACAATGGATATGAATGGAGCTCAGAATTTGAAAGCCAAGTTTTGAATTTAGTACACACTTTTACCATTAGTCTACACAAAAAATGGTCCCAATATAATAGGACAGTTACATTTTTTACTAAAAAACATTCTGAATGGCTTAAAAAGGAATTCATTTTACCAACTCTTCCATTACAAATGAATGATAAAACTGTTGGTTGTCCGAAAAAAAATTTGAGTCGTGCACAGAAAGAATAAAAAACAAATAGATATCTTAAATACAACAGATTTAATTTATAATGATAGTATATTGAAAATCGAGCACAAGCTAATTTTTTCAATGGTCGATAGAAAGGTAAATTTATTTTTATATATACTTTGGAACTATTTATTTTTAGAAATAATAAAAGAATGTACATAATTAATGCACCTATAGGTATACAATTTAATGACTTTTACATCGAGTCAAAAATGTTATATCTGTGGTTGTAGTCCAAAACATGCCAATGATATTGATAAAGTATTAAAGTTAAGTACTAAACCGAAACATTTTAAATTTAGTTTATCGACATTACACGCATGGATTAGACTTTTTGAATGTCTATTGCATGTCATATCGTTTGGACTTCAAAACTTGGTAGATAATAATTATTATAAGTAGGTATTATACTTAAAATAAAATTAATAGAAGGTATACATAAGTAGGTATTATACTTATGTATACCTTCTATTAACTAAATTTTAAAGAA